TCTTTTTTTTAAAAAAAAGCTGACCGGTAAGGGGATCTTAACCCTTGACTTGGTGTTGTCAGCACCACGCTCAGCCAATGAGCGAACCGGCCATCCCTATATGGGATCCGAACCCGTGGCCTTGGTGTTATCAGCACTGCACTCTCCCGAGTGAGCCACGGGCCGGCCCAGATGTTCAGTTCTTTATTTGCTCCAGCCACAGTTCACCTGCTCAATAGACACATGTGGTTTGTGGCTCTTGTGTTAGTGCAAATACAGACCATTCCCTTCATCACAGGAGATTCTATTAGATGGTGCTGGTATAAACAGTCACAGCACTAACTAGTAAGTACTTACCCCTCTCTCCCCCAAGGCCAGAGCTCCTGAGAACAGGATCAGATGTTTGCTGGCCTCAGTGCCACCATGCCAGTGCCTGGTATACAACAGGCCCTCGATAAACACTCATTCAACGAGTTACTGACTGAGCAAGCCATGCCTATTCCACACGTCTTTCAGCCACCTCCCACTCCCCAACCTCAGTGAGCACCCGATCCTCACATTAAAAAGCAGGGATTCCAAAGCCAAGAGGAAGTAAGTTCAAAGCCTGAGAATCCTCCTCAAAAACTGTGTGAGGGTGGATGGGGGCACAGTGGTGGGGACTATGCAGTGCTGGGTGCCTTGGGCTTCCCTGAGAAGGGAAGGGGGAAGGGGAGGCATGAGGCCATTCCAAGCAGTTTGACCCTGCTAGCCCTCAGCCCAGGGCCTGCTGGATAGGGGTGCTGAAAACACCATAGTGGAAGGATGATGAGACAAAGAATGAGAGGATGGAGAAGAGGCCACTGTACTGGGAAAGAGGAAGTCACTGGTGACTTAAGGAAGTTTGGGTAAAGTGAGAAGGAATAGTGCCCCCTTACCTGAGGGGGGTATGTTCTGAGACCCCCAGTAATGCCTGAAACCACAGATAGGACCAAACCTACATATACTAGGTTTTTTCCTATACATATACCCATGATAACGTTTAATTTCTCAGTTAGGCATAGTAAGAGATTGAAAGAAAGTGAGCCGAGATGCCAGCTTTATTAAAGAAAAATAAAGTTCAAGCTTTATTAAAGAAAGAAATTTGCTGGGCTGTGCCCAGAGTGGCAGGCAGCCCAGGGCTGCCCTGAAAATGGTGGACAGCACCAGGTGTGGGGGTGGTAGAGCTTATATAGTGCACCAAGGCTGGCTGATGTAATTCTGGGGTGGGGATTGGGTTAGGTCATGGGACGGGAGAGTTCTGCACATGCGGGAATGCCAAAAGTTTCATTTTCTCCAAAACCATGAGGCTTCTTGTAAAAGAGAACGGGGGAGGGGAGGAGGTGGACAGCACCATTTTGTACTTGGGCTTGTCTAAAATGGCACTGGTTATGTTGCAGATCTGTTAGAGATTAACACCGATAACACAATAAAATACAACAATTATGACAAGATGCTATAAAAGGTGAAAGATTTATACAATCTGAAGGGAAACCAGAGTACTGTAACAATGTACTGTAATAAAAGTGTGTGGATGTGGTCTCTTCCTCTCAAATCTTGTCCGACTGTACTCCCCTTCCTGTGATGGTGTGAGATGATGCAATGCCTCTGTGATGACATGAAGTGAGGTGAGGGACGTGGGCATGTGACACAGCCTTAGGCTACTACTGACCCTCTGACAATACATCGGGAGGATCATCTGCTTTGGTTGATGCTTGATCACTGAGCCATGACGATGTCAATGACTAACAGGCCAGGGTGTACACAGCATGGAGACACTGGACAAAGGGACAATTCAAGTTCTGGGCAGAATGGAGCATGTAGTGGATTGAATTGTGTCCCCCCAAAACTCACTGAACCTTGAACTGTGTCCCCCAAGTTTTATGTATTAGAAACTCAGCCCCCACTGTGACTGTTAAGAGGGTGGGAAATCCTATTAAGGTAACTGAAAGGTGGAGCCTTGCAGAGGTGATTGGATTGTAGGACCCTGCAGTAGTGAATGGATTAGAAATGGTGGTCAGGGGCGTGGTTCTGAGGCTTTAAAAGAAGAGGAGAGTCCGTCTCTCTCTCTGCTCTCTTGCTTCCTCTTACCATGTGATCTGCTTGTACCCGCCGCCAGCTGCCTGCTACATTGCTTTCCGCCATGAGTAGAAGCAGCCTGAGGCCCACAGACGCAGCTGTCCCAGAATTGTAAGCCGAATAAACCTCCGTTCTTTATAAATTACCCAGTATCAGATATTCTGTTATAGCAACACAAAAACAGACTAATCCAGAGCAGGACGGTGAGAGATTTCATCATGCTACTCAGAACGGTGCATGCATTTAAAACTTATTACTTCTGGAATTTCCCATTTAATATTTTGGACCATGGTTGACTAGTTGTACGGTAACTCTACCTATAACATTTTGAGGAACTGCCAAACTTCCACAGCAGCTGCACCATTTTATATTCCCACCAGCACATGTGAGGGTTGCAACTTCTCCACCTCCTTGCAAACACCTGTCATTGTCTCTGTCTTTATGTCATCGGTTTTCTAAGGGGCATTTCCATCTAAAATATGACCTCCACGCACATGCTATTGCCAAGTCTCCCTTCCTCCTCTGGACACTGTGCCTCTCCTGTAGTCACTTGTAACTCTGTCGGGCCCGCTTTCCTCCTTGCCCTTGAATATAGCCTTCTGTACAGAGCCCCCACAGCCTCGCAGCAAGTGCCTCCTCTTCAGCCCCTGCCTCCTCCAGGAAGCCCTCCTGGCCTGAGTGTGGGCTTTCCTGCCACTGCTCCTCTCCCAAGCTCCTCTTTGAATCCTCAACTGCAGGAAGAATCAGGATCCTTGCCGAAGTGGGATTAAGGGAAATAAAAAAGAGCAGGGTTCAAGGATCCATTTTATCATCAGATGCCCTCCAGGTGTCCTATAAAGGTCTCAGTCCCAACCTCCTCTTCATCACCTTCATAAACTGTATGATGAATGCACTTTATCAAAGCTGAGACAGAAACTTAACTGCCCTTGGTCACGATGGAATCCGCATTATCAGCCTCCTTCCCCAGGCTGGAAGTTCCTGAAGGCAGGGACCCTGTCTTGCTCTCCTCAAGCCAAGCATAGTAGATGCTCAATGAATATATTGAAATGAGATAACTTTTGCCAAGAAAAGTTATATAATGTTTCACCAAAAAACAATAATTTCTCAAAAAGATGTATCATAACTTTTGTATAGCTTATGTGTGATAGTGTATGTCATATACTGTAACACTATAGCATAGCTATTTGAATCCAAAATTCCTAAGGGCTTCTCTCAGAACACCGGGACTCCAATGAGTACAATGCGAACACAGCCTTTAGACAATCTGTTAAAAACTGGGTGTAAACCCTGAGTACAGTGCTCCATTCAATCAAATCAGTACTTGCTCTGTTCCAATGTTCACAAACCTTTTGGCTCATCATTTAACCATCTCAAAAGAAGAAAGCATGTCCACTCCTGGATGATCTTCTCAGTCTGTAAATGTCTGCCAGCTGGCACGTCTGTGTAGTCCCCTAAACAATGTTATCCGTGCTGCAGACGAGATCAGAAGGAAGCTCGCAAGTGATCTCTCTCCAACGTTCTAATAAACATAACTGCTCAAATACAAGCTCCTGAACCGAAGCTAGGCACAAAACGATGCTCTACATCCCAAGTTCAAAGACTCAGCAAGCCTTCTCGCATCTGGTTAGCCAGCATTAACCAGAGCAGTGGTTCTCCCAGTGTGGAGTCCAGCAGCATCAGCATTACTTGGGATTCTACTGGAAATTCACATTCTCAAACCCCACCCTTCCTACTGGGGTAGGGTCCAGCAATCTACACTTCGACAAGTCTTCCAGGTGACTGAGAGGCACACTCAGGTTTGAGAACTACATTAACTAGAGACAGTGAGTTCACAAACAGAAACCACTTGAATCCAACCCAGCGGTCTCTAACAGGGTGGGAAGGTGTTCCCTGTTTCTAAAGTCTGCAGAGAAGAGAAAATACATTAACTAGAGACAGTGAGTTCACAAACAGAAACCACTTGAATCCAACTCAGCGGTCTCTAACAGGGTGGGAAGGTGTTCCCTGTTTCTAAAGTCTGCAGAGAAGAGAAAAGGCCCCTTCAGGTTCAGCCATGTGAGGATGACTCTGGCAACTGACCAAGGGCATACAATGAATGTGCACAGATGGTGCAGGCAGACAAATGTCATTCCCAACAAACTCTTGTGTGTTATGAGCACCCCACTTCTGTAGTACAGAGTCATGTAATTTCCTTTTCTCTGACATTTATAAAATCCTGAGTCCTGGGCTACAGCCTCGCTTAGCAAACTTCATGAATCTTTGAGATCCTCAAAAGGCAACCTGTGCCATAATTATAATTCAGACAAACTAGAATATCCTTGGAAAGTGCTGCTGGAGAGACGGCTTTGAGCTCAGAACTGTCAATGGAGACAACGGTGCAGGTGTGTGTGTGTTGGGGGGAGAGCTAGAAGGGAGAGCAGGAGGCAGGGATGGCGTCTACACTTAAAAATACCTCTTTCCAAGCTTCACATTTGGGGTGTTCAGGCCTTTGGGACCAAAGAAAAAGATATGCAGTTTTATCTCAAGTGTCTCCTCACAGGGACTGGGACACCCTAGAACATCGGCCGAATGCCCCTGGAAAGTTTCCAGCACCAATTCCATAACTCCGGGTCAGCCAAGTTTAAAAGAAAGCCGGCAGAAGGGGGGGGAGGGGGGGGAGAAACAGAAGGGTGCAGAAAAAGCAGGAGTGGCATCAGGTGAAATAGAGAGAAGAGGGCTGTCCGGTTAGCTCAGTTACTTACAACACCAAGGTCAAGGATGAGCGCTAATCTGCCCTCTTCTGCTGCACCCCAACTACTGCAGGCCCTCAGCTACTATTAATCATCTGTTTCCAAGCCTGGCAAGGTCACAGCAGTAGTGACCACCTGAAACTCCACCAGCATATATGGCTAATTCAAACCAGACAGTCAGACTACTGAGAAAACAAATTATAGAAAAAAAATATTTATTATTTTCCGTTTAAAACAAAAGAAAAAAAAGAAAAAAAGGAAATAGTGCCCAATTAAGGAATGTTCATAAGGAAATCCTGTGCTTTCTGCTGTGACTTCTCCAAATAACAAACCCCTGTTGGCAAAAGAAAACCCATGCAAACTAGAACTCCCTTTGAGAGCAAGGTTTAATTCTGACCCAGAGTTATAATAATTTTTAAAGTACTATCAATTCCACCATACTGTGTAGGAATTACTCATTCTCCTCCCACCGCCCAACTTCTGAAAAACCCAAGTGGCTAACCCTGGCTGGCTTAGCTGAGGAAGTAAAATGCATTCCTTAATCATTAGCTACCACAGAAAAGCACACTGAGCCTGCATATCAAGTTGTCTTCGGTAAAATCTATTTTGCTTGCAATAGTCGTGTTATCCTGATTTCTCTTCCCCAAGTTCTGTTCTCCGTTCCAGAGGTGCGCTGGCGGGTGCTGTCCCCTAAGTCTTGTTCCTCCCCTTCTTCCCCTTGGGCGCACCGGGCCAGGGGAAGCCGCGCAGGTGCAGGCAGTCGGCCACGTTGTGCGCGATGTAGTAGAGGTTCAGCATGGCCGCGGGGCTCAGGATGTCCACCTCTGCTTTCTTCTGCTGCTTCCCGCGAGCCTTGCGCTGGCCTTTTCCTCTTTTCTCTTTACCTGGCTTTCAAAGACAAGGATAAACGAGGGGGGGAGGGGTTAATTTTTATAACCTTGACATAATTTTCAACACTTCCTTATTGAACTTAAGAAAAAAAAAATTCCTTAAAGGAAAATATCAAAACAGCAACAAAAAAAGTTTGCCAGGGATGGGAGATATCATGTGCAATCTAATTGGACAAATGTTTATTAAGCACCCCAGATGAAAAGAGACCCAACCTAATGAAATGACTGGCTCCTGATTGCATTCTGATTTGAAGAAGCTCCAAAAGGAAAATTCTGAGGCAATCAGGGCAAGTTGACCCTATCAAAGGATTATTATTAATTCTGTTAGGTATGCTAATGGCACTAGGTCACAGAAGAAAATGTTCACACGTTTCAAAGATGCACACTGATCTCTCTAGGGATGAAATGAAAGACGGCCTGAGATTTGCTTTAAAATACTGCAGTTCCCCCTCCCTCACCCCCAAATATAAAACATAGATGAAGCAAATGTGACAAAATCCTGATAATTTCCAAATCAGAGAAATGGATATATAGGGATTCATCTTACTATTCTATTTTTAGAAATTTTCATAATGAAAATAAAAATTAAATTAAAAACAAATTAGACAATCGGGATGGAAATATATATTGTGGCACTCATTAGTGGCAAGTAATCTCCTCCTCATTAAGCACTCATGGGTTTAGGTGAGACAGGAATCTTAGACACTTAGCACAGTGTCTGACACGAAGCAAGCACTCAAAGCATTACTGCCATCCTCCTTATCACCCTGGATCCTCAGAGCTGTATTTCAAGGTATGTAGGCATTAGTCCTGTCTTCAGAGTGGAAAAGCAGAGGCTCAGTCAGGTTACTCGGCACGTACAAACCGACAGCCACCAGCCTCAGGCCTGTGCTCATTCCACAACTACATGCAAGGTCGGTGTCCTCTTGGAAAAATGAATGAATAGAATCTAATCTGGAAATAAACCGTTTCCAAAGTTTTGCTAGAGCTGCACAAAACTGAGTTGAACTTTTCTGTGTCCTCTGACCCACACGTAGAAAGTAACAGATAGAAGTGTATTATCAGAAAGTGTCTCTTTTAGGCAAAGGAAAGGCGAGGAATGTATACATTATCAAGGACACCTGCAAGGGCTAAATATTTGTATAAAATAGATGTCCTGTTCAAAGCCTTTCACTTAAAAAATGTCCTAAGCTAAACAAAGAGAAATACAGTTAATGTTAAAAACACTAAAATACATTTTTTGCCAGGTAGAGTACAGTATAGTACTAGATACAAAAGCCAGCAATGAAGATGAGGAACATCTCGCCTCACAGTAGCCTGGTGTCTCGGAGAAAATCCAAATGAAAAGAAACAATATGAAGCCCTATGGCATGACTGCATCCTCCTGATAAAACATCCCTGTGGGGTGTAGGGTCTATACTTTGCCATAAGCTCTTAAAGATTTGGGGTTTTGGCTTTCTTTACGAATTCATATACTTTCTGCGAGTCAGTCACACTTGACTGGAAAAACTGCAACGAAATATGTGTGTGAATTTGTATGTATGTGTTAATCTCTAAAATAATTTGAAAACTAAAATTCACATAGAAGTTTGACATTTTTATTCAAAGTTCTCATCTTTTTGTAGAAATTGGCAAACTCGTTCTAAAATTCGTATGGAAGTGCAAAAAGGTTTTACATTTTTATTCAAAGTTCTCATCTTCTTGTACAGATTTTCTACAGATTCTAAAATTCAAATGGAAATGCAAAGAACTTTGAAAAAGAACAAAGCTGGAGGACTAATACTACCTTATTTCTCTTTTTTTTTTTTTTTGTCCTTTTCCGTGTCCGGCAATGGATCGCAACCCTCAGTGTCGCCCCCGT